CAGGCTGGCAGGCAGGTGAGCAATTAGGAGCCAGTGGTCCAGAATTGTGAGAGGGATGTCCGAGTGACGGTTTAGGTCCGATCCCAGGGATGTCAGTCGGACATCCCCAAGGGGTCCTGGATTGGAGAGGTGTGTTCAGGCTTGGCTGAGGGGACCGCCCTCCCCCCGTGCACAAATTTGTGCATCGGGCCTCTAGTAGGTTATAACCCACAAAACAAAGCAAATATCCACAAGTCCATATGCATTTAAATTAACATCTGAATAAATGGGGGAGAAGAGAAAGCTCTTCCTTACATTTGAAATCCAACTGATAAATATAGAAGGCATGATAAAAATAGGAAATCACCAACTGGCAAATACCACCATAATCATTGTTTTGAGTAAGAATTATTAATAGATGATAAAATTAGTGGGTGAAAGTTTGATTAAAAACAGGCTATTTACATAGTCTCAAATATCACCTCCAAGATTCTTGTTAATTATAAGGAAACTAGAAGCCCGTTGCACGAAGTTTCGCGAAATAGGCCTTCCTTCCCCTGGCTGATGGTACCTGGGACCCAGGCCTTTGGTCCGGCCACAGCAGAGAAGCCAAGCCTCTTCAGTCTTCAGTCTTCAGTCTTCACTCCGGCCAGAGCCTTCAGTCTTCGCTCTGCGCCTGCGTATGCAAACTAACCGCCATCTTTGTTGGGTTAATTTGCATAGTCGCTCTGATTGGTTGGTGAGCGTAGCAGAGTGACACCAATTTGCATGCTTCTCTTTTATTAGTGTAGATAGTAATTTTACCAGGAAGAATCTTGGCAGATACCACCTTAGCCAAGAGATTAGAGTTAACATCACCAATTAATGAGACATATTAACACCATCTGCCTCCTGATACCCTGAGAAAGGCACAGCATCACTTTTGTGTTGCCAAGAAGTGCATAACCTCAACTGAATCACGAGGAAACACACCACATGACCCTGAATTAAGAAACATTCTATCAAATAGCTGGCAAGAACTTTTATGAAATGTCAATGCCATGAAAGAAGCAGACAGAGGAACTGTCACAGATTAGAGAACAGTAAGGAGACATGACAACTAAATGCAGTGTGGAATCCTCAGCCAGACAAAGGGCACTAATGGGAAACTGATGAACTTTAAATAAAGTCTGTAGTAATCATATTGTCTCAGTGAATTTCTTAGTTTTGACAATTGTGGTATGGTTATGTAAGGTGTCAATATTTTAGGAAGCTAGGTGAAGGCAATACAAGGAACTTTTTGCAACTTTTTTTCCTAAGTATGAAGTTATTTCTAAATTAAAAGCTATAAAAGAGAGAAAGGGAAAAGGTGGCCTTTGGCAAATCTCTCCTCTCTCTGAGCCTTAGTTTCCTCATCTGTAGAGCAGGGCAATAATTCCAATCTACTTCACAGCAGCATGAGGATAAAATGAAACAATGCAAAGTAGCAACGTGCATGTATTTATCCTATAAAAAGGTATTCTTGCTGTTAGTAATGGCAGCTCATGTGTCTTGATGAGATGCTTGAGCTGCTAAAACTTTAGGAGGGTTGTACCCTAATGAGAAACATCTGGCTGCAAGCTACTTCCTCACAGCCATTCGATATGACCTTGCCCAAGGAAATAATAATGCCAGCTTTGTGGCTGGGTGGCTGTTGTCAAGGAGATGGCGCCAGATAGCCCAGACAGCTGGTGGTAATGACGTCACCTCTAGGCTTGGCAGAAAGAAAAGCTGTGGGGAGACAGAGACAGGGCAAAGGGCGTTATCCCTGACCGTGAAAACAGGAAAAACAACTTCCCAAATAGCCTATCCTTTGTACGACTGATTCTATTTTCAGTTTCTTGTCGAACGCTTTTTCTGCATCAATTGATATGACATGGTCATTTTTTTGAATGGGGCAATGGATTAATCATAAGGACAATGCCTCACAGGCCCGTATTTCTTTATTGTTCCCAAAGTATCTAATTAGATAATGCAAGTGTGTGAGCTCAGCACTGTCTGCCCTGTTTTACACATGGAAAAATCAAGGAGAAGCAAAGGGAAGGTACTCCAGGTCACAGGATGTCAGAGGACTCTCCAGAGTCAGAATTCTGGTACCCAGGCTTCCAGTGTGCAATCAGACTGTCCACACTAAGGTTTCCCTCATGGCCACCTTGAAGCAGTTGCCCAAGGAGTCTGCTGAACACATCCCTGAAATGTCTCACCTCTGAACCCAAATTCTAAAGTGGAGAAAAAGGAACAGACAGGGAAGACAGGCTGCCTGAAACAATGAGGACACTGACGTTTAGAGAGACCTGAGAAAGTCATCTTTACCTCTTTCAGCCTCAGTCTTCTCCTGTGTAAGTGAAGTGGGGTTAATAGTAGACCTCCTCCAGGGGTTGTGGCGAGAGTTCAATGAGGCGGTGCATGTGATGTGCCTGTCAAAGGTGGCAGGAAAGAGATGTTCAGGATGTGTAAGTCCTCTTCCTTGTTTCCTTTCTCAAGAGCTTTCATCTGCTGGATGGAAAGTTAGTTCCTTCATTTGAGAAATGATGGTTGTATAACTCAGCCTCCCTCGCCAGAACAGAGTTGGTTGTGCATTAGTCGCTTTGAAAAACACACAAAGAAATGGCCTCCGGAGCTGTGAGGTCCTGAGACATCCATCCAGTCCCACCCTCTTATTTTACCGCTGTAGAAACTGAGGCCCAGAGAAGAGGAGTGGACGGCCAAAGCTCACAGGGAGTCCGTGGCAGAACCAGCTTCCCTGCTTTTGGACACACTCGTCTCATTGCTTGGACTTAGCACGTTGGTTCCACGGCGTCAAGCACTGCTCCTTTCCTGGAGACGTTGGTTCCTGCCCACTCTGTCCTTCAGGATGTCATTTTATTGCTGATTCGGAGGAGGTTGAAGATCTGGGAAGGGAAGAGGAACAGGCACAGGACAATGTGCTTTATAGATTTCATGAAGAAACACACACACACAGAGAGAGAGAGAGAGAGAGAGAGAGAGAGAATAGGAATATGTAGGACGCTGACTGAACTATTATAGGTATCTTAGGTCATCTTCACATCCTTGCAGGATAGGTTTTGGCTTCATTTCCCAGATGGATTGAATCATTCAACGTATATTTTTAAACACCTGCTGGGTGGAGGCACTGTGATAGGTGTTGGGGATAAAGCAGGAAACAATTCAGAATATAGTCTCTGCCCTCATGGAGCTGCCAGTCTAGTGCAAGAGGACAACATTGAAAAACAAACAACCCCCCTACCCCGAAATCTATCCTTGCAAAATGTAGTAAGAGCCCCAGAGGAAAAGCAGAGTGGCTAAGAATTCAAGAAAGGGCTTGATTTAGGTGAGAGGATTAGAGAAGGCCTCCTTTGGAAAGGAACACTTACAGTGAAGAATGAGGAAACTGAGGCCGAGGGTGGACTTACTAATATACACAATAACAGGGAAAGCCACCGTCAACCCGTCTTTCCACGTTATTTTCATCCAGGACCCTCCTGTCAGCCTGCAGAGGTAGGTATGAACCTCGAGATGGGAGATGAAGGTGGGGTTCACTGGCCACGCTCTGCCCCGTCACCCAGGCGTCCAGGGAGGCCCTGTGCCTTAGAGGAGGCAGCGAGGTTATGCAGAGCCCTGATGCAGGGCCGGGCCGGCCTGGCTCCATTCACAGTTTATTGTGCAGGACTTGGGGCGAGTGGCTTTGTCTCGCGGGGCCTCAGTTTACAGATCTCAAGTGCGTTTGAAACCTAAAGGTAATGGTCACTAGGAGAGACTGGAGAGGAAGTGTTGCTGACCACTGGGCTCATAGGAACGAGCTTGCCTGAAATCAAATGTGCAAATTACTACTTGAGTTGGGATTCCACAGGTAGGATTTTTCTAAAGGGAGGCGGCACCGGATTGTCTGATGAGTTGCAATTGAAGGCGGAAAAAAGGAACTTGGAAGAACAGACTGTGAGGTTCGTGGTCATTATTCTAGAAAAGCACAGAGGCGGTTATGAACTCTGAAGGCCCGTGAGTGGCCTGATGCCCGGCTCCCGCTTAAATTAACGGACCGAGGCCGACCTTCGCCCTCAACAAAGATGGCGCCTTCCCGGGCCTCGGCCAGGCTGCCCTCATCAAATATGGCCACCACCGGTCCCTCTTTCCTTAACTTTGCTGGCCCAAGTGAGGGCGTCCTGCCCTTAGTTAAGATGGCGCCCGCCCGCGCTTCCCTGCCCGGCTTCACGGCGCGCGCTGCGTTGGTCCCGCCTCGTTTCCGTAGGAAGAGGCGCCGGGAAAGATGGCGGCGGCTGCGGTTTGAATTCCAGCGGCGCCGCCGGAGTCCGAACAAGAGCTGGATTGGAGGGGGCGGGGACCTGGAGAGCCGGGCGGGTCGCGACCGCAGGAGAAACCAGAGGCGCGGCCGCCACGGACACCAATGCCACCACCTGCTCTGTGTCCGTGATGGACTCGGTGTTGGAAGAGGACGTCACCCTCCCCGGGACGCTCAGCGGCTGCAGGTGCGGCCCGGGTTTGAGGGATTCGCGCTAACGGGGTCGGGTGCCCGCTGAGGGGGTTCGCTCTTGAGGGTGTTTCTGGACCGGGTCAGGTGTGGGGTGCGTTCCTGGGAGGGGTCTTTTTGGGGACCCACCCGTCGATACTGAGTGCGGGGTCCCGGGGCTCCCGACCGGCCCCACACTCGCCCTTCGTATTGCGGGCTGTTCTTGGAAGAGGGTGTGCGGGGCAGGAGGAGGGGGCCTCTCGGAGTGCGCGTCCGTGGGAGCTGCTGGGGGCAGGACTGTGAGCATTCTGGTTTGGGGGTTCGCTTTCATCATGGGGACTTCGCTTATGGGGCCGCCAAGACTGAGGCAATGGAGTGCAGTGGTTAAGCACCTTGGCTGGAGTTGAACAGAATTGGGTCCAAATCCAAGTCCTGGGGGTGGGGGCGGAGGCGGGCTAGGAGGGGTCATGGGGGAAGAAGGGGGACATATGCAATACTTTCAACAATGAAGATTAAAAAAACATCCAGGTCCTTTTAGCTGGGTGACCTTGGTAGGGTGGCTTAGCCTACTTTCCCATCTGTGAAATGGGGCTAGTGGTAATATCAGTGCCTAAAAAATGATTGAGCTGCCATCATCATCATCATCAACATCAATATCGATAATGGTTGAGAGTGGCCTCCCAATGGACCTGTTCCAAGAGGCAGTTGGACGCCACATTGCTGGTGGGGCCAGTATCTCCTCCCATGGGAGGGCCTGAGAGAGCCTAGCGCTGCTCTAGGGCCGGGCCCTTTGGGTCCCTGGTTGGAGGGCGCTGGAAGGATGCCGAGGGGAGCCTGACTGAGACAATGACTGTCTATCCAGGTCTGCTAGGGACAGGCTGCTACTTTTAGTCAACAGACCCTAATAGAAAGGGTGACTATATTATTTGTTGTGCAAACCTGGGCTCCTTGAAGAGGGAAATGGGCACAATTAATACTTATGCCTGGACAGCAGGCGTAATCAAGTCCTATCTTGGACAGAACTTGACAAATAGTTTCTTTGCTTATTGAGAATCTACTATGCATAAGCCAGAACCAGGCCCTTTGCAGCTCCTGCTTAATTGAATCCAGTGGTAGTCTATCATGTCTCTTTGTCTTCATCTTACTACCACAGCCCCAGTATATTGTGGTATGACCTCTCACCCAGATTGTCCTGTTTTCCCTGGCCCCTCTAATATTAATTCAGTATTCCCATATATTATCATTCTGACTTGTAGCAGGTATCAGCATTTCATTCCTTTTTATGGCTGAATAATATTCCATTGTATGCATGTAGCATATTTTGTGTATTCATTCATTGGTTTGTGACATTGGGTTGTTTCTGCTTTTTTTTGGCTATTATAAATAATATTGTTATGAACATTTATTTATATACAAGTTTTTATATGGACATATGTTTTCATTTCTTTCTAGGTATAATACCTGGAAGTGAAATTGCTGGGTCATATGGTAACATTATATTTAACATTTTGAGGAACTGTCCAACTCTTTTCCAAAGTGGCTGATGTCTTCCAGGTCATCTGGTAACTTCGGGACAAGGCAGTGTATGAGGGTCCTTATTTCTTCATAGCCTCATCAACACTTGCTATTGTCTGTCTCTTTTATTGTAGCCATCCATGGAGGTATGACATGGTATCACATTTTGGTATTGATTTGCATTTTCCTAATGACAATGATGTTCAGCATTTTTTCATGTGCTTATTAGCCATTTGTACATTTTCAGATCCTTTGCCCATTCAAAAATATGAATATGTTTTGGTCCAGCAGTTCCACTTCTTGTTATCTATGCACAAGAAATCCTCATGCATGTGCACAAGGAGTCCTGTATGCATTGTAAAAGGAAAAACTTAGAAACAAATTGAATTACCATCAGGGGATTGTGTAAATACAGATCCTTTCAAAAGTGTCTTTCAGACTGTGATCCATGACAGCTCATGAAACTCAATTTAGTTGGTTGCAATCAGAATTTTATAAAATGGAATAGAACAGAATAGAAAACATTACAAGAATAAGGGTAATATGTTTCCTTCTATGGGTCATACGCAGTAAGTTTTGGAAAAAGAATGTTGTAGAATGCTTTGCGGGAGTTGAAAAAACATCGAGGGAGATCTATTTGTACTGTCATGAAAATATCTTTAGGACACATTAAGTGAAGAAAAGATGCTGCAAAATAATACATAAAATTTGATTGTATTTATTTATTTTTAAACCACAAAATAAAACTATGTCTCTGTATGTAAATGCATAGATTAAGATCTGGAAGAATACATGTCTTGTGGCAGCATGTTTACCTATTAGGAGGGGACTGAGATGGGAGTGAGTAGTAGTTGAAGAGAACTTTAGGCTTATCTATACTTTTTTATTTATATATTTCCTCTCTAAGGATAAGTAACAAAGAATGACAAATGAATTGTTGAAGGGCAAACAAAAGCGCACTTGTAATTGTTTTCTGAAAGTGATGTCCAGTCCCATCCTTGGCACTCATAACACTTTACCAATGAAATGCCTAGGCCTTGTTGGGTCTGTGTGGTGAGTGGACAATTGTTGCTGCCATATACAGACACAGACAGAGATCACTCTACAGAGTGGCTGTAGAGTAAGATAGGAGGATGAGATGGTGAAGCTCAGGGGAGTGTCCATTCATTCACTCAACAAATAGTTGACAAACAGCAGTCCTGATGGCTCTGCACTGATGGAGTGAGCACTGAAAGTCCTCTGCCTCTGTTTATTCAGACCTCAGCACAGACCCTTGGGGAAGGTGTTAGGGGTGTAGAGGTTAAGAGCTTGGAGTTTGAAATCTGGGTAGCTTGGCCTTTCCAACACTGAGTAAATGTTACTAACTTTTCTGGGCCTCTGTTTCCTCATTTTAAAAAAATGGCAACATTTAAAAACTACCACCTACCACAAAAGGGCTGTGATGAGCCTTAAATGGGAGGCTCATCACATGTGCCTGCTAGTGTGGGTGCCCTACAGGGTATGATTGCTGGATTTTGCTGGATTTTGTCTCTGCTTTGTGATTTTAAGCAAATAAGTTCCTTCCCCTTTCTGGGCCTTAGTCTCCCCCATCTGTACCATGATACAATCATATCTAAGCTCTCTTTTTTTTGCTTGCATAAAAAAGCCTCCCCCTTTTTTTTCTTGTGGGGCTCCATGTAGCCTTACTTCTTAGGCTAAAAATGAGTTATCCGAATGGGAAGAGGGAGCTACTTAGAACTGGAGGGGCAGCTGAAACTGCCTGGAGTGTGCAGATGACAGACTCATAGCATTTAAAAGTGGTCAGGTGGTTGGAGTGTTGTCCCATACACTAAAAGGTTTCGGGTTTGATTCCTGGTCAGGGCACATACCCAGGTGCGGGTTTGATCTCAGTTGGAGTGGGCACTGGAAGCAGCTGATTGATGTTTCTCACATTGATGTTACTCTCTACCCCAACTCCTTTTCTAAAATAACAAAACAAACAAACAAACAGAAAGAACATATCCTTGGAAAATGATTATTTTTTAAAAAATAGGGTAGGTAAAGCCCAAGTGGAAAGTTGGCAAGAACCAGACAGGAATTTCTGGGTTACATAGTGGTTTCTTCTAAGAGTTGGGATGTCACATGTCATTTTTCAGACTTTAGTATTTGCCTATTGGAAACTTGTCTAAACTAAATTCTTTGGCTTTGTCAACCATGATTGATCTTGGCTTGAGTAATTGATGGGCCAGTTTAGTCAGTGGGAGTCATTCAATGGCTGTGGTGGGGAGCACCCCAGATTGGGAATGTAGAGACCCAGGGGTGGGCAAACTTTTTGACTCGAGGGCCCCATTTGAAATGAATAAAACTAAAAAAAAAAAAAAGACCGTACCCTTTTATGTAATGATGTTTACTTTGAATTTATATTAGTTTACATAAAAGGGTACGGTCTTTTTTTTTTTTTTAGTTTTATTCATTTCAAACGGGCCGGATCCGGCCCGCGGGCCGTAGTTTGCCCACGGCTGGACTAGACTGTAGGATGAGCTTAACCAGTAACTAGTGGGCCGTTGGGCCGCCATCTGTGAAAGGTGCTTATTGAACTTGATTTTAACTTTTAAGAAAATTCAGTTTAGAAAATGGAGTTTGTCCTTCTAGTGATGCTTATTAGAGGAAATTGAGAATTATAGAAAATTAAAGGAGGCAAGTATCTCTCATTTCCACAAATGATGATTTTAAATATTTCCCTTGTCTTGTTATATATTTATAGCCCACCTAATTTCCAAGAAGGATTAGTGGTGACTTTAGTATATATGTATTTTTTTAAATAACTGAGGACATATTCTAAAGGTTTTTTTCAGTTGTCTTTAATTTTTTTTTAAATTCTTTATTGATTAAAGTATTACATATATCTCCTTTTTCCCCCATTGACCTCTCCCCGGCCACTCCCACCCCCCAGCACATTCCCTCACCCCCTAGTGTCTGTGTCCATTGGTTATGCTTATATGCATGCATATAAGTCCTTTGGTTGATCTCTTACCGCCTCCCCCTACTACCCTGCCTTCCCTCTGAAGTTTGATGGTCTGTTTGATGCTTCTCTGTTTCTGGACCTATTTTTGTTCATCAGTTTATGTTGTTTATGATATTCCATAAATGAGTGAGATAATGTGATATTTATCTTTCTCCAACTGGCTTATTTCGTTTAGCATAATGCTCTCCAGTTCCATCCATGCTGTTGCAAATGATAATAGTTCCTTCTTTTTTACAGCAGCATAGTATTCCACTGTGTAGATGTACCACAGTTTTTTAATCCACTATCTGCTGATGGGCACTTAGGCTGTTTCCAAATCTTAGCTACAGTAAATTGTGCTGCTATGAACTTAAGGGTGCATATATCCTTTTTGATTGGTGTTTCTGATTTCTTGGGATATATTCCTAGAAGTGGGATAACTGGGTCAAATGGGAGTCCAATTTTTAATTTTTTGAGGAAATGCCATACTGTTTTCCACAGTGGCTGCACTAGTCTGCATTCCCACCAGCAGTGCATGAGGGTCCCTTTTTCTCCACATCTTCTCCAGCACTTGTCATTTGTTGATTTCTTGATGATAGCCATTCTGACAGGTGTGAGATGGTACCTCATTGTCATTTTGATTTGCATCTCTCGGATGATTAGTGACTTTGAGCATATTTTCGTATGTCTCTTGGCCTTCTGTATTACACAGCCCCAATATATTATGGTATAACCTACACTCCCCTTTCGAAAAGTGTCTAGTTAGGTTCTTTGCCCATTTTTTTAATTGAATTGTTTTATCTTCCTTTTGTTAAATTGTATGAGTTCCCTGTAAATTTTGGAGATTAAACCCTTATCGGTGATTGTGCCGTGTCCATCACTGGCAGGTTTGGTGAGTCTGAGGAGGGGCGGTGAAGGATTAAAGAAGACAGACAAGAGAATACAGCGGGGTCTCGGACGCTGCTTCTCTGATGGAGAGACAGTGCCGAGGCCAGTCTTTATTTTATAGTCAGAGCACACAAAGCAAAACAAGAGAAGTGGTCAACATGTTTACAATGTTCTTGTGAGTTTCACCTTGTTTTGGCAGCACTTACTGCACCTCCCACAACCCATTAGCTACCTAGGAAGGAACTAGGGAGGACTGTAAGGTCAAGCTTAATTATGCTCGGAGAGCTTGCCCTCCAAGCTGGGACTTGTTTGTGGCCCTGCCACAGGTCAGTCCGAGGCTTACCCCTATAGCTGCTCCCTGCAGGTGATAACATTGGCAAATATGTTCTCCCATGCAGTGGGCTTTCTTGTTGTTTTGCTGATGGTTTCTTTTGCTGTGCAGAAGCTTTTTATTTTGATGTAGTCCCATTTGTTTATTTTCTCCTTAGTCTCCATTGCCCTAGGAGCTGTATCTGTAAAGATATTGTTACCACATATGTCTGATATTTTGCTGCCTGTGGAGTCTTCTAAGATTTTTATGGTTTCCCATCTTACGTTTAAGTCCTTTATCCATTTTGAGTTTATTTTTGTGTATGTTGTAAGTTGGTGGTCTAGTTTCATTTTTTTTGCATGTATCTGACCAATTTTCCGAACACCATTTATTGAAGAGACTGTCTTGATTCCATTGTATGCTCTTGCCTCCTTTGTCAAATATTAATTGAGCATAATGGCTTGGGTCGATTTCTGGGTTCTCTGTTCTGTTCCATTGGTCTATATGTCTGTTCTTGTGCCAGTACCAGGCTGTTTTGAGAATAGTGGCTTTGTAATATAGCTTGAAATTTGTATTGAGATCCCTCCTAATTTGTTCTTCTTTCTCAGGATTGCTGCGGCTATTTGGGGTCTTTTTTTATTCCATATGAATTTTTGGAGAGTTTGTCTAGGTCTGTGAAATATGCCGTTGGTATTTTAATGGTGAGTGCATTGAATCTATAGATTTTTTCAGTTGTCGTTATAGCAGACACATTTTGTGTAAATCATTCTCTTGATGTTGAATTTTATGACACCCATTTTTTTTTTTTTGCTTGGCGCTCTTCTTGGAGGTGTATGCCAGCTTTAAGTTGGGTGATCAGGCAGAATTGTCTTTGGAACAGAATGGATTCTGATTTAGAGATCTGGAAAGAACAATCTGCCAAGAAGCCAAGCTGGGCTTCCATCAAGTCCTAGGTTACAGCGTGGGGCAGGGATGCGTCATTGTGGACTGGACACAAAAGGCTTGGATTCTGGACTTGGATCTGTACTTAACTACCATGCCACCCTGGATAGGCCACTGAGTTATCTGGATCTTAGCGCCTTTCTTTGAAAAATACATGGACCCTCAGGGAACTGGGTAGCTCCCATGTCAGTAAATTATGAAGCACAGTATGTTTCTAGGTGACAGTGGTATTTCGCTTCCGTTTGTGGGGTGCCTCCAATATGAAGATACCTTGTTGGGCACTGTGTCTTGTTTAATTGTCAGCTACTCTCTGAAATGGCTGCTGTTCTCCTTTCACAATGAAAGAAGCAAAGCCTGGAGGGGCATGTGGCAGAGCTTAGAATAGAATCCAGGGTAATATCCTTTGTGTTAAACCACTCCTCCTATTTTGCTTAGTTTTCTGACAATGTCTCCAGGTCTTCACTGACCCTATTTTTATAATTCACCTAGTAAAACTTCTTGGATCAGTGAATTTTGTATTTTTGTACGATGTTCTTAAAGCATCTGAATTGGTGCCTGATTCTTGGAAGCTTAATTTTTGGTTGTGACAGGTATATTAATAATAGTAATGACAAAACCAACAGATGCCACTTACTGAGTGTTTACTATGTGCTGTGTGTTCATAGACGTTCACTCATTTAATCTTTACAGCTAGAGGGTGGTATTCCCATGTAACAGATTGAGTGAGACTCAGAAACTTAACTCGCTTATATTTGATTCAGTGCCTCTGCCCCTGCTACATATATGGCACACAGAATACTTGTATGAGCGAATGAATGAATGAATGACCAACCAACCTTACTGAAGGTCACTCAGCTATTGAGTTCTTAACCTCTGCACTGCATGCCTCCCAGGTGGCTCAGCTGTGTGTCCCTCCGTGGTCGTGGCCTGGTGATTGTCATGTGCAGACTGTCTTAACGGTCTCCGTGTTCAAACACTAACTCATCTCTTGTGCACATGTTTTCTCTTAGTGGCCTTGTCCCAAAGTTACCAGATGACCTGGAAGGTATCAGCCCCATTGCTGGTTTGGGAAATGGAGGTAAGTACACAAAATTGGGCATTCTCTTGAGTAAGAACAAGGGATGTAGATACCAGACCATGAGGGCCTTGAGGCCTTGAGCCTGGGGCTGGGCTCTGATGTCTCTGGGCCCAGAGCCTACTCTGGCCTGGCTAGGTGCTCAGAGTAGGTGCTCAGTATTTTATGTATGTATTGATTTGTTATTCACCTCCTTTCATAAACATGGGACTAGAGGAATTGATGTCCTTCAGGCCGTATTTCATGAGTTTTTTTTTTTTTTTAATCCTCACCCGAGGACATGTTTTTCATTGCTTCTAGAGAGAGAGGAAGGAAGAGGAAGAGAGAGAAACATCGATCGGTTGCCTCACACACATGCCCTGACTGGGGATCGAACTCACAACTTGGATATGTGCCCTGACCGGGAATTGAATCCTTGACCCTACGGTGCATGGGACGGCGCTCTAACCATGGAGCACACCGGCCAGGGCGAGTTTTCCTTTTTGCTACCATGCTTGTAGGGATTCAGTCTGTGTTTGCTAAACTGAATGACTGTGTGGAGGCTGGATGTTGAATCGGTGACTAGTCAGACAAGGAAGGTCTGTTGGTCCCACTGCTGAGTGGCTGGAGGCTGAGGAGAGCTCCTATCTGAACTTAGTGTGCCAAGGCCTTCCTGGCAGGCTGCTGGGTCCCATCTGCCAGCGGAGGCCCAGCATTCCTACCCGGGCCTGCCCTTTGGAGACAAATAGCTGGTTAGACCACAGGAGACGGTGCCGAGTAAATACGCAGTCTATTGTGGTGGAGCCCATTATGAGGAGACTTTCTGCTTTGCAGTGTGGATTTTGCTAAGCATTCTTCATAATTTTTGTTTCTGAAAAAATTCAAGCTATCATAAGTATCTGTGGGAAGTGCTAATAATTTGACTTGCTGAAATATCTCAGGGAGATATTTTGATTTGCATTTTATTCTCTTCTCCAAAGTGATGAGATAGTGCAAAAGGGAGAAGTTTTTAGAGCAGGTCATATAAATGTCACAGGGTTTATTTCTGGAGAATACTTTAGCTTATTGGCCACCCTTAGGTTTTCCTTCAAAATATGTTAACTTTTAACACAAATCCAATAATTCTGGCTTCTGCTTTCCCTGCCCACAGGTAGTTAGAAGCAGAAAATTGGTAGGCCTGCTCCTTAATGCAGCCCATGTGTACATCTGCTTCATGTCAGGCTCTGGGCTAAGCACTGGCATTCAACCTTGAACAGGTTATAGTCAAGCCGAGAAGACAGACAATTAAATAAAGAATAGTTATGATAAATCATATGACAGATGTAACGAGCAGAGGTGCTGTGAGAGAGGTAAGAGGGAATTTACCCTGGAACTGGAGGAGTTGGGTCAGGCAAGAGTTTCCCAAGAAACTGATATTGGAGCAAAGACTTGAAGAATGAATGGCTCAGACACCATGCCCACTCACACCTCTGGGCCTTTGCATGGGACGCTGCTTTTCCTTTTGCTCCCTCATCTGCTTGCTGCCTCTTTAAGACTGAGCTTGAAGCTCATTGCCTTCCCTGGCTCTCCGCAGGCTGACTTAGGTGTGCTTTCCTTTCTGAAACTTACATGTTTAATTTTATTTCATTGATTCGTGTCGGCTGCTTTAAAAATACCCAGAATTAGATAACTTCTGCCACCCTGGTCTAAGCCACTGTGATCTCTGGCTTAGACTGTGCCTGTATTCTCCTAACTGGTCTTGTTCCTCAGCTCCTTTCAGTCTGTTCTCAGTGAGGCAGCCAGAGGGAGCATATGGAAGCCAGAGTCCCATCGTGTTACTCCTTAGCTCAGAATCCTCTGTTGCTCTCGGAGTCCTGAGAAGAGCCTACGAGGCCATCCACAGCCTGTCCCCCAGTACTTTGCTCACCTCCTTTCTGCCCCTCTTAGTCCATTGGCATCACGGCTGGTCCTCAGACCCGCTAGACATGCTCCCCTCTCAGACTTCTCTCTTTGCCCTTCCCTCACGTCTGCCCAGTGAGACCTTCCCTAATTTAACCACCTTACTTAAAATTGCAACCCTTACCCCACCCTTGGTATTTCTCATCCTTATCCACTTTATTTTTCTCCACAGTATTTATCACATTTTAACATACTGTGTAATTGCCCTATTATTTTTTTGTCTATCTCTTCTTTCCAGAATATCAGCTCCATTTGTTTGTTCGTTTCCTAATATAGCCACATCTAGAACGAGGCCTAGCAGAGCAGAGGCCTGCCATGCATATTTGTTGGAAGAATGCTTTCATTCTCAACACCCATCTACTCAGCAGCTAAAAAGTGCCACGCCCTTTGTGCAGCATAATAGTTTGTGTCCCTCTCTGTCTTGCTCACTAGATTGGAGATCTCTCGGGCCCAGCATCAGTGTCTCCTTCACTGTTGTTTCCCCAGCACCTAGTATGGTGCTTGGCACAGAGTAGGGGTGTAATAAATGTTTGGTGAATTAAAGAAGCTGTGGAAAAATTTGGGTATTGGCAAAGTCTTTAATCATTCCAAAGCAGGGCTTGGCAGTTTCCGACCCACAACCTGCTTTTGAAAATAAGCTTTATTGGAACAGCTTCTTTATTGGTTTATGAATTGTCTGTGGTTCTTTTTGTGCTGCAACAGAAGAGTTAGTAATGTAACTGTCTTATATTTGTAAAATAGTTTAGGCTTCATATATGACCTACAAAGCCTAAAATATTTGTTGTCTGCTGTCTTAAACATTTTGCCCACCCCTGCTCTCAAGTCAGTTGGATATGCTTTGTTTTAGTTGCTGACATGTGAGATATCATCCTGGTCAGCAGAATAATTTTATGACAGTCAGTAAGGAAGTACATATCAGGACGTTGCTGCTTTGCCACATGCCCAGTGCATTTTCTGGTTCATCCTCTGACACACACATTGTTACATTGGGCTAGTTTAAGTAATTTGTAAATTTTTGAAATCTAATGGTTTAGAGCTTTCCCTGGACTCAACTCAGTAAATCACAGCAGACAGAAAGTACCAGCAGAATATACTGTGGAAGCTATTTACGTTTTTTTTTCTCTGGGCTCTGTCCCCTAATAGGGATGCTGGGTGATTTGCATACCATGATGTTTTGTCTACTTTACCTTTTTATAGTGCTCCCAAAGGTGTCAGAAGAAACGGTGTCTCCCACAAGGGCACGGAACATGAAGGACTTTGAAAATGTAAGTGGAGACGCCAAGTTACCAGCCCGAACAAATCATGCCTGCTGCTGCTGTCTAAGTAGACCCAGGAGGGAGCTGTATTTCTTGACAGGTGTCTAAGTTGGGTAATGCCAGGGTTGGAGGAATGCCGTGTCTCTGTGAGACTGTTGCATACCTAGGCAATCGGCCCTTGACTATGTGGCCAGTTATGGGTTCTAACAGGATCAGCAATTTCCAACTTGGGGGAAGGTGGTGTATTCTGGTGTCCCGACTGTGAGGTTATTACCCTCTTGCACAGTTGAGAGGAGCTCATATTTGTCAAGGGCTTTTTTATGATGTCAGATGCCTTATTTATGGTCCCATTTAATTTTTGCTACAACTCTGTGAGGTATTTTGTATTATCCACATTTTACAGGTAAGGAATCACATAATATTTAAGCGGCAGAGCTGGGATTTGAATCCAGGTTTTTAATGACTCCAAAGCCATTATTCTTTTCACCACATTGGGGTGACTCCTTGCATTTTGTAGGCTTCATCTTTGTTGCTGTTGAATGAAAGTGAGCAACCTGGACCCAGTGCTGTCTGAGGATGGATTACGTGGTGATAGATCTGTCTCCTGTACTTAATGTCTTTTGGCACCGTGTCTTTCATTTGTTAGTGTGTGTGTGTGTGTGTGTGTGTGGGGGGGGGTTGTTGTTAAGTAATGGGAAAATAAGGTTATTTTCCCAATTCCAGATCTTCTTAACAAGTTACCTGTTCAGTGCTCTCATTTATCATAGGAAGAATTAGACCTTCTTCATTTGTAACCAAATGGAACCCATACTGTACAAGATAAAAGAAATTTATCAGAGAGAAGACGGAGGACACAGAGAGAAGGACGTTCCCCAATTGTGTTTCTCTCTCCCCAGTTGTCTGTACAGAACAGAGCGGTACTGTCTCTAGATTTAATTTAGAATACTCATTACTGCTAATAGTTATCTGCAAACCACCAGTGACCAATTGAAGAAATGACTTGTCAGATCTCTAATGGAAACAAGTAATTTCTAAGCTTGGAGTTGTTATAATTTCAACTGTACAACATGATCTATGCTGTGGGGTCTGGGGCCTCAAACGAATGAGATTTGATTATTTCACATTGTGTATAATTAAAATGTGCTCTAATATTAAATGGTGATTCCTGGTTTATCGTAGAGTAATACTAGCTACTGCTTATTGAGCTCTTGTTCTGAGCTGGGCACTTATGTGTTAGGCTCTTCGTATATATTACATTAATATTAAAGCAGCTTTGTAAGATATAGTTATTTAATTTATGAAGGGCACAGTTTTGAATTTTATTTCTAGATGGAAAAATTTAATAGAATCTTAGAATTTTTGTTTCATGCTTTATCGTCTGCCTTTTGATGTGGGATGAATCCAATCCTCTTTATTATATGTAGGAGAAACTGAGACCCAGAGGTGTGACATGGCAAAGCTGTTCTCTAAGGACCACAGCCTCTGGAGCCAGACTGCCTGCTCACCCACTGCTGCTGGGTGACCTTGAGCCAGTCATTTAACAGTTTCTATTTCGTAGTGGAAGCACATGTGCCTACCAAGTTCATCCTGTGTCAGCTGTTGCTCCTCTTATAGTTATTGGTATATATATATTATTGTGATTTTTTCCCCCCTGCTCTGCATGTGACTTAAGTTTCTCTTGCTCAAGTGTGCTCTTGATGACCTAAATACCATTTTTCTTAAAGGTGAAGGAGAGCCTTCTATGCCAATGTTTTAGAATTTATGTGTTTTTTTTTATGACTGTGCTCCTTTGGCTGCTGTTAGGTTTTTATGGCATTAATATTTTTTACTGTAGCATTTTTAAGAGCGAATTCTTCAGTTGAAATTGAAATGACCACACTGTTCTCCGCGTTTCCCTTTTAGGTCTTTATAAGTCACTGAAGATTTTCATCTGGCCTGAGCTACCCAATGCATGACCTCTATGCTGAGGTAGTCTGAACTTTCTGCGGGATGCTTATAGGAAATGCTCTTGGCATCTCAAGCTAATTTTAAAGTCAGCATGCATATTAAAGAGGAGGCAGGAATAATTTTGATTTAAAGGGGAAACTTACGATTCCTCTTCTTCTAGTCTCAGATAACAGGTACCTGAACATCAGGGTCTGTCAGCTAGCATCTAGCAAGACATAGGCCTCCTTCTGGTTTTGCTCAGAGTCCATCTGTTCATTAATGAATATTTTCAGATATATGCCCTATGCCAGGCTGGGCTAGGGACTGGGAATTTGCAGTAGGTTAATACCAGGTACATTTCCCTGTCAAGAGGCTCACAGTCTAGTTGGGGAGATGGAGAGGAAAACAGTGCAGTGATAGAGGTAAATACAGGGTGCTGTGGGGCACAGAGGATGGGCCCTGAACCTGACCTGGGGGTTCAGGGCAGCCTCCCTGGAAGAGGTGTTCCTTGAGTTGGGTGTTCAGAGACAGGGAGGGATTAGCCAAGGCAGGAGAACTGGGGGAGCATCCAGACACAAGGACTCACTTGGGCAAATGTAGAGAGAGGCATGGAAGGGTGTGATGAGTTTAGAGAACTCTAAGTTCCCTTTGCTGGAAGGAGCCTCTGTGAAGGGGCCTGAGAGAAGTGAGGCCATTGAAGCGGGCAGGGGTCAGATTCTGTCTGTTACACTGCTTAGTTTGATTTTGTCCTGAAGATGAAGGGGAGCCAATGATGACTTTTAATCCGGGAGGGAAATGACCAAATTACGCTCTCAAAACACCCAGACTGGTGACTGCAGGAAGGAGCAAGGTTGGGGGCAAGATGACCAGTTAAAAGGCTGCTCTGTGTGGTCTCATGGAAAAGAGGATGATGCTGAAGCTAAGGGATGGGGTCACGAGATGTTTAGAAGAAAGTCAGAATTTCAGAGCTAGAGGAATGCCAGGAGTCCCTTCATTTGACACATGAGGACTTTGAAGCCCAGAGAGTGGGAGGGACTTCTTCAGGCTTTGAACTTGGGCCACTCTGCTGTTCTGTGCAAGGCCTCACTCTGCCATGTGAAAACCATGTGCCTTCTTTTGGGTCTTTAAACTGGTAATCCATTAGTACCTTTATTAAATAAAGCTGAAGGTATAGTCACCTCTATGGTAGACCTATGGTTGCTGGCAAATCATTTTGGTCTTCAGTGGGGGCCTGTTTATTTGGACCCAGATTCTGGTTCAGCCTATCCAGTTAGTCCAGTAGCAATTTTTATTCGTATATAGAAGAGTTTAATTCTGGCTTTTTCTGTGACCTTTTTGACAGGGAATGACAGGGGTAGCTTTCCACCTCTGTTAATACTACTGATGGATAGTATTATTTAATGACTGTCTAAAGTTCATAAAGGCTTATTAAAAGGGATGGATTAAACAGTAATCTATATAATCTTTTATTGTTAGATGTTCATATTTCTAATTTTTCGCTATTACAAACAGAGCTGTGATGAATATCCTTATGCACACATATTTTGACAGTTATGTGATTATTTTCTTAGGGTAAATTCTGCTGCTCATGTCTCATACTCAGCTGCCCTGGGGTGCTGGTGTTCTTGTATCCTGGCCCTTGTTCCTTTTTGTTGAAAATTCTTGGTCTTAGCTGAGGCATTTAGTCAAATTTAGTGTTTTATATGAGGTTCACATCTTCAGATTTGCTCTGTAACCTCTATGTTGTGAGTTACTTATTATACCAGGGAATAGCTCCCTTCATCCCTCACCCCTGCCCCATTTTGGGAAAACTTATCCTCAGGAAACAACCCAGTAGAAGGAAAAAGCTCTGTGGGTAAGGTGTTTGTTGCCACATGGTATATAATTGTGAAAAGTTGGGAACAAAGGAATGATTTTACATTTGTTATTTCTTTGGCTTCTTGCAGTAAGTTTGTGATGAAGGTATTTCACAGATGAGGAAGCTGAGATTGGAGAGATTAAATGACTTGCCCATGAGCTTGGTGTGATTGAGAAACTCAAAGCAGGCAGAATTCAAGCCCGGTCTTCTTGATTATAAAGCCTGAACGCTTTCTACTAGATCACATTGACGGCATAGATGCACAGTAGAGAAATGTGAAATAATCGACAGTGAATCAGTTCAGTAGAATTCAGTGTAGTCATTTCAAATGATAATTGTGTAATTCTTCAACAACAATGTAAGACACTAGGGGAAAGCAGTGGAATATCGAAATTCACTTATATTATAATATACTAGAGGCTCGATGCACGAAATTCGTGCAAGGGACTTGCCTCTTGCAGAAGGTCGTCTGGAAGGATGTCCAGAAGGTCGTTCGGCTGTCTGGTCTAATTAGCATATTACACTTTTATTATAGACTAGAGGCCTGGTGCACGAAATTCGTGTGCAGATATGGTCCCTAGGCCTGGCCTGCTATCAGGGCCATCTTCCCCAGCTGCCTGCAGCTGGCCCTGCCCCCTGCTGCCACCCATCTCCGGTTCCCTGTTTGCCATCAGGTGATAGGTGCCTGACGGCCGGGAAATGGACCAAGAGGTGATCAGTGCACCTCATAGTGACTTGTCCAGCGGTCATTCTGGTCATTCTGTTAGGGTCAATTTGCATATTACCCTTTTATTATATAGGATAAAAATGTATAGATAAAAAATTCATGAGTGAAAGCTGAAAAGAATATAACAGAAATTGATCTCATAAGTTGATTTCATTGTATTCCAAGTATTGTTTGAGGTTCAGTTTTAAAGTTCTGTTACTGCTACAGTACTAATTGTTAATAAATAGATGTTTGTCAAGAACAGTTTTCTTGATGATTTGAGGACCAGGGAGAGTATTGGAATCAGAAACTAATTCCAGAGTGTCCTTATTTTCCTAACCTCATTTAGCTGCTACTGGCAAAACCATCATACACGTGGTATAGTTTACCAGAGATGAATTCTGGACAGTAAGAGTCCATGTTTTTTGTGATGTACAGATGAGTGGTCTAACACCTTTTGGATTTTTAAAGAGGATAACAAAATTGTTGGTGACCCAAAGATCTGCTTAACGAGGGCTT